TTTACAATTGTACCAAAAATAATAAAATACCTAGGAATAAAATTAACCAAGGAGGTGAAAAGACCAACTGTAAAACAGTGATGAAAGAAACTGAAGATCACACAAATGGAAAGATATTCCATGATCATGGATTTGAAGAAGCAATATTGTTAAAATGTCCATATTACCCAAAGCAATCTACAGATTTAATTCAATCCCTATCAAAATACCAACAGCATTTTTCACAGAACTAGAACAAACCTAAGATTTGTATAGAACCATAAAAGACCCCAAGTAATCAAAACAATCTCAAAAAAGATAAACAAAACTGGAGGTGTCCCAATCCCAGATTTCAAGATATAGTACAAAGCTGTAGTAATCAAAATAGTATGGTAGTGGCACAAAAACAGACAGATTATCAGAACAGAATAGAAAGCCCAGATATAAACCCATAATTATATGGTCAATTAACCTTTGAGAAAGGAGGCAATATCTAATGGGAAAAAGACAGTCTCTTCAACAAATGGTGTTGGGAAACTGGACAGCGAGATGCAAAAGAATGAAACTGGACCACTTTCTTACACCATACACAAAAATAAACTCAAAATGGCTTAAAGACCTAAATGCGAGACTTGAAATCATAAAAATCTGAGAGCACAGGCAGTAACTTCTCTGACATTGGCCATAGCAACATTTTTCGAGATATGTCTCCTGAGGCAAGGGAAATGAAAGCAAAAATAAACTAATGGAACTACATCAAAATAAAAAGTTTTTGCACAGGGCGCCTGGGTGGCTCAGTTGGTTAAGTGATTGCCTTCGGCTCAGGTCATGATCCTGGAGTCCCGGGATCGAGTCCCACGTCGGGCTCCCTGCTCGGCAGGGAGTCTGCCTCTCTGACCCTCCCCCCTCTCATGCTCTCTATCTCATTCTCTCTCTCAAATAAATAAAAAAAATCTTTAAAAAAAAAAAAAGTTTTTGCACAGTGAAGGAAATAATCAACAAAACTAAAAGACAACCTACTGAATGGGAGAATATATTTGCAAATGACATATTCAATAAAAGTTTAGGGCGCCTGAGTGGCTCAGATGGTTAAGCGTCTGCCTTCGGCTCAAGTCATGATCCCAGGGTCCTAGGATCGAGTCCCGCATCGGGCTCCCTGCTCCTTGGGAGCCTGCTTCTCTCTCTCTCTCTCTGTCTCTCATGAATAAATAAATAAAAATCTAAAAAAAAAAAAAAAAAGATTAAAAAAAAATAATAAAAGTTTAGTATTCAAAATCTATAAAGAACTTATACAACTCAACAGCAAAACAAACAATCCAATTAAAAAATGGGCAGAAGACATGAACACACATTTCTCCAAAGACATACAGACAGCCAACAGACACATGAAATGGTGCTCAACATCACTATTCATCAGGGAAACGCAAATCAAAACCACAATGAGATATCACTTTACACCTGTCAGAATGGCTAAAATAAAAAACACAAGAAACAACAACTGTTGGCAAGGATATGGAGAAAAAAGAACCCTCATGAACTTTTGATGGGAACGCAAACTGGTAGAGTCACTGTAGAAAACAGGATTCCTTAAAAAAATTGGAAAATAGAATTACCATATGATCCAGTAATTCAATCCAGTAATTGCACTACTGGGTTTTTACCCCAAAAATATAAAAACACTAACTTGAAAGGATATATGCGCCCCTGTGTTTATGGGCAGCATTATTTACAATAGCCAAATTATGGAAGCAGCACAAGTGTCCATCACTAGATGAACAGATGAAGTAGTATATATGTATGTGTTTATCTCTATACCTATCTCTCTATCTATAATGGAATTTTACTTAGCAATAAAAAAGAATGAAATCTTGCCATTTAAAACAACAAGGATGGATCTAGAGGGTATAATGCTAAGTGAAATAAGTCTGTCAGAGAAAGACAAATACCAAATGATTTTACTCATATGTGGAATTTAAGAAACCAAACAATTGAAGAGAAAAAAAGGGACAAACCCAAAAACAGACTCTTAACTATAGAAAACAAACTGATGGTTACCAGAAGGGAGGTGGGTGGGGGCATGGGTGAAATAGGTGAAGGGGATTAACAGTATACTTATCTTGATGAGCACTGAATAATATATAGAATTGTTGAATCACTATGTTGTACTTAACTAATATAATATTCTATGTTAACTATACTGAAATAAAAATAAAAATAAAATAAAGTAACCCATGTATTTACCATTCCCCATTCCAATGCCCTGACTGGCAGTTGTACACATGCTCCTGGAGCAGCCTGCACCAAACCTGCAGGAGCCAGGGGGCAGTAAAAGGACCCTGTCCTCCAAATATCAGATATCTGAGCTCTTCTTGCTGATTTCTGCTTTTTTTTTCTTTTTTAAGAGAGAGAGCAGGGGAGGGGGAGAGGGAGAGAAATAATCTTAAGCAGGCTCCTGGAGCCTGACATGGGGCCCTATCTCATGACCCTGAGATCAGGACCCAAGCTGAAACCAAGAGTCAGATGCCGAACCAACTGAGCCACCCAGGCACCCCGGCTTGCTGCTTTTAAACAGAGAGGTGCAGACAAAAAATGGGTGGCCATTGTTGCACCTCCCCCAATCGTTGCAAGCCCCTCCCCCTCTGGCTGAAGTGACTTCCCTGGGATTTAAAGGCCTGGTACACTTCCCTCCTCCCTTCATTTTTCTCTTTTTCCTCTTTTGGGAGCCAGACATTAAAAACAAACAACTGCATATACTAGGAAATTTAGAAAGTGAGCATATATGCCTAGGAAAAGGCTCAGAAAAGACATTAATTTTAAACCTCAGGCTGATCCTCAGCATAGACAGCCTACAACAATCAAAACAAAAAACAGCAGGCCAAATTATTAGATCCAAATATCCTCTATGAGGCCAGTATTATCTTTTTTTTTTTTTTAAAAGATTTTATTTATTTATTTGACAGAGAGAGACACAGTGAGAGAGGGAACACAAGCAGGGGGAGTAGGAGAAGGAGAAGCAGGCTTCCTGTGGAGCAGGGAGCCGGACGTGGGGCTCAATCCCAGGACCCTGGGATCATGACCTGAGCCGAAGGCAGACGCTTAATGACTGAGCCACCCAGGCGCCCCGAGGCCAGTATTATCTTGATAACAAAACCAAACAAAGACATCCCAAGAAAGGGCAGATCAATATCCCTTACGAATATAGATGCAGAGATCCTCATCAAAATACAAGTAAACCAAACCCAGCAACATACAAACAGAATTATATACCATGGCCAGGTGGGATTTATTCCAGGAATGCAAGGTTGGTTCAACAAATGATAATCAATCAATGTAATATGACATATTAATAAGGACAAAAACCACATGATCTCAGCAGACACAGAAAAGGCATTTGAAAAAAATGCAATACTCCTGCAAGATAAAAACACTCAGCAAACTAAAACTAGAAGGGAACTAACTCAATCTGAAAAAGGGTATCTACAAAAAACCTCACAGCTAGTATCATACTTAGTGGTGAAACACTGAATGTTTTCCTCTTAGTTTCAGGAACAAGATAAGGATGTCTGTTCTTACCACTTCTATTCAACACTGTGTTGGAGTTTCAAGCCATAGCAATTAGGTAAGAAAAAGAATAAAAGAAATCATACTGGAAAGGAAAAAATAAAACTACATTTGCAGATGACATAATTTTATATACAGAAAATCTTGATGAACTATTAAAAACCTATTAGAACTAGTAAATGAGTTCTATACAGTTATAGTGAACAATCTGAAAATGCAATTAAGAAAATTATCCCATGTATAACACTATGTATAATATCAAAAAAAATAAACACTTATAAATACATTTAACAAAAGAAGTGGAAGGCTTGAAAACAGAGTACTTTACATCACTCAAAGAAATTAAAGAAGACCTAAATAAATGGAAAGGCATCTATGTTCATGGATTCTAAGACTTAATGTTGTTAAGATGGCAATACTCCCCAAACTGATTCATAGATTCAATGTAATCTCTATCAAAAAGACAGCTGGCTTTTTGTAGAAATTGATAAGCTGATCCTAAAATTCATATAAAAATGAGGGACCCAGAAAAGTCAAAACAAACCTGAAAATTAATAACCAAGTTGGAAAACTCATATTTCCCAACTTCAAACTTACTACAAAGGTACAGGATTCAAGAAAAAATTAATATGTTGAAGCCTTTAAACCTCAATGTGATTATATTTGGAAAGAGGGCCAGTAAGAAGCTGATAAAGGTAAACTGAGGTCATAAGGGAGGGGTCCTAATCCAACAGGGCTGGTGCCCTTATAAGAAAAGGAAGAGACACATGAGTTCTCTCAACCATGTGAGGACACAGTGAGAAGGTAATCTATAAGCCAGAAAGAGAGCTCTTGCCAGGAACTCAATCAGCTAACACCTTGATCTGGGAATTCTAGCCAGAACTGTGAGAATATTAAATTCTGTTGTTTCAGCCAAAAAACCCCCTCATATTTTGAATTATGTGCTTTAGAAAGTAACCACCCCTTCTGTAATAGTTGTGTGTTTCTTAAGATGATATCAGACCTGATGTGATGCATTCTGGTAATATAGTCCTGGGGAGATGAGTTGAAATCGGGTATGATATTCCTACGGGTAAGGATCCTGGCTGAGAGGTAGAGCACAGAGAAGAATAAGGTGGAGTTTGTGAGGCCCGAATCTCAAATCAGGCCTAGTTTTCTGTTAGTCTCACATTTCATTTCCTTTTGTTAATCTCTAGGTCTATAGTGATTTCATAGTCTCTTCTCCTAAGAAAGATTTTCCTCTGTCTAGGCACACTATGACAAAACATTAAAGCCCACTAATTCTAACATTTTATTATATATTAATAATTAATAAGAAGGTGAATCTTAGAACAAGATTTGAAATAAGACGATGAACTGTATCTTCCTTCCTTGTGGTTCTTCTTCCATTTCCACCCTGGAGAATTTTGGTTTGACCACATTAAACTGGGCAATGGTCCTTTTACATTATCATCACTTACCTTCACAATAAACTTTAAACCCATGAACACTAACTGCAAAATCAGTGGTCAAATATAGTGAGAACACAGATTTGGTACTTGTTTCTGATGGCAGCAGATGGAATCCTGTTAACCTAAAAACATACATAAAATTAATTGTTAGAGTCATATTTTATCTAACAGAGCTGAAAGAGCATTAAAAGTTATTTTATCAAGCCCCCAAGCTTTGTATAAATAAGTACACAAATACACACACACAAATATATGAAATTATGACATGTTAATTAGAAGTCACTCATTCAAAGAAATTGCTGTAAGTTTATATAAATATACATTTATTTATGAATGTGTGTGCATATTACTGAGAAGCAAAAGCTAAGGATAGACATATAGATGAATGGAATGGAACTGAGAGTCCAGAATTAAACCCTAACATATACAGTCCAATTGATTTTTGACAAGGGTGTTCGGATAAATCAATGGGGAAAGGACAGTCTTTTCAATAAATGGTGCTGGGGCAAATATCCACATGCAAAAGAATGAGTTTAAAGCCCTATTTCATACCATATACAAAAATTAAAAATCTACTGAACTCCTACATATGAAGTAAAACTATAAAAATCACAGAAGAGAACATAGGCATAAATCTCCATGACCTTGGGTTAGGCAACAGTTTCTACATATGACACCCAAGTGTAAACAACAAAGAGGAAATAGTGATAATTTTCTCTGACTTATTATTGTAAAGATATAATCTCAAAGCTACGCCAAATCTTTGGTGTCACTGAAAAGTATCCATCAGCAATAGATAATCCGATTATTTCAAATGCGCTAATTAGCAAGGTCTGAAATTCTGAGGATGCACAATGGGAAAACCACTTCTCTCTGCATAATCACATATAGTACCATCTCTGTTAAGAGCAACGGAATCTGTGTGAATTTAGCTGCATTTAGGAAAATGTTTCTCTTCCTTTATTTGTCCTTGCATTGTCCCAGAGCTGAAAAATATTTGTCCTTGGTGTGTGTGTTTGGTCCAATAAGTTACCACAAAACTACAGGAGAAATGAAGATGTACATTTCATTTCACACTGGTGTAGAAACTTGAGGGATCTTAATTTGATGTGTCAAATCAGACAGTTTTGCTTAACTGCCTCTTACTGAAAAACTCAGACCTAGGGAAATGTTTTGTGTAATTGTGTCCTGTGAACTGCCCTTTTGGGGAGGGGCAGATTGGGGTTTGGGTGTGGGTGGGCTGTGGATCCTAGGGTGAAATAAGTTTCTGTGGGTAGGGAGTAGAATTCTCTGAAATGGAGATTTTTTTTACATTAGGGATTAAAGAAAACCCCGTTAGGGGTGCCTGGGTGGCCCAGTCAGTTAAGGGACCAACTCTTGATTTTGGCTCAGGTCATGATCTCAGGGTCCTGAGCTCAAGCCCTGTGTCAGGCTCTGCGCTGGGTGTGGAGCCTGCTTGAGATTCTTTCTCCCTCTGCTCTCGCTCTCTTTCTCGCTCTAAAATACATAAATAAATCTTCAAAAAGAATAAAGAAACCCCCTTCAGTGAGGAGCAGCATAGAAGTAAATTTTCTATAGGAAAACCAGATAATGTTCGGTGTCTATGAAGGGAACTAACTCCCAGTCCCCATGACATGTTTAAAGTTTTGTTCTTTTCCTTTTACTTTAGGAACAGTCATGTTTAGCATATGGTTTTAGTTCTCTTGGGTTTTAAAATTTTACTTTGTTATCTACAATCCTTCAGTAAAGTTGTAAAGGTAAGGTCGTATGTCCAAAGTGTGGTTCTGGGGATTTTAAGAGAATCACCTTTGGGGCGCCTGGGTGGCTCAGTTGGTTAAGCGACTGCCTTCGGCTCAGGTCATGATCCTGGAGTCCCGGGATCGAGTCCCGCATCGGGCTCCCTGCTCAGCGGGGAGTCTGCTTCTCCCTCTGACCCTCCTCCCTCTCATGCTCTCTGTCTCTCATTCTATCTGTCTCAAATAAATAAATAAAATCTTTAAAAAAAAAAAAAAAAAAAAGAGAATCACCTTTCCTGTCAGAGAGCAGCATTTTATTGAGGAATTACGGGAAAGTGAGCAGAGGCTCAAGGCCAAGCTGAGAGGGAGAAGAGCTCTCTGGAGAAATGGCTGCAATTTGTACTGTACTTAATATAATCCTGCAATTTGTACTGCACTTAATATAATCCTCCTCCCCCTCCCAGATATATCTGAGGAAGATTACAGAAAGAAAAACATTCTTTTTTTTTTTTTTTTAAGAAAAACATTTTCTGGGGTGCCTGGATGGCTCTGCCGGTTAAGCGGCTGCCTTTGGTTCCAGTCCTGATCCCAGGGTCCTGGGATTGAGCCCCCCATCGGGCTCCCTGTTCAGAGGGGAGCCTGCTTCTCCCTCTGCCTGCTGCTCCCCCTGCTTGTGCTTGCTCTCTCGCCCCTCCTCTCTGTGTCAAATAAATAAATAAAATCTTAAAAAAAAAAGAAAAGAAAAACATTTTCCAACAAAATTATCCTAGCTAATTTTCAGTCAAGCATCTTATTATTTAAACCTTATATTTAAACAAAAAAACTTTGGTTTTGTTCACAAATGCTTGATTATCACCCAGCATTTCACTTCACAGTAAGAAATTAAATTTAATTTCAATAACGTTAAGAGTGGTCTCATGAAAAGTATGGGCAGCATAGGAAAAAGATGAATTACCATACTCAACTAATAAGATAATAGTAGGTTTGAATCCATGGTGAATCTCCCTTTTCATTTTATGATGTGCTTCTGAAACATCACTTTGGAAAACTCATATTAAAATAACAAAAGCTATGGCTATATAATAATGAGGCCTACCTTGGAGTTTTAATGAATCAAACGTCTTGTTTTAAAACTATTTCATACGAAGGTCATACTGATGGTATGCGATGTGATTCCACACAGAACAAAAATTGAAAGCCCCACAACTCATATTCTAGGTTAGCAGTTTTCAAACTTTTTGGCCTCAGGACTCATTCACAATCTCATAAATTATTAAGAGTCCTACAGAACTTTTAAAAAATGTGTATATCTATACGTATTTACAGTAATACAAATTAAGGTAGAGAAATAAAAATATTAGTTTATTAAAAATAACAAGCCCATGTTAACATAAAAAATGCATTTTAATGAACATAGTTATGTTTTCAAATAAAAGAAATTAGTGAGTGGGGCACCTGGGTGGCTCAGTTGGTTAAGCCTCCGACTCGTCATTTTGGCTCAGGTCATGATCTCAGGGTGGAAAGATCGAGCCCCCCCCCATGGGGTTCTACACTGGGTATGGAGCCTGCTTAGGATTCTCTCTCCCTCTCCTTCTGCCCCTCCCTCCTCCTGCTTGTGCTCGTTCTCTCTCAAAAAAAAAAAAATAAGTGAGATACATGGTACTATTTTAGATTTTTGCAAATCCCTTTAATGCCTGGCTTGATGGAAGATAGTTGAATTCTCATATGTGTTTCTGTATTCAATCATGTGCATTGTTTGGGTTGAAGTACATAAACTTCACCCAGATGTATAGTTGGAAAAAGCAGGAATATTTTAATAACTTTTCCAGATAATTATAGGTATTTTTTTTTTTTATAAGTGGTGTATCTTAAAAGTTAGTGGCAATGTAGAATCTGGAGGTATATCAATTAACATTTTACATTCTATGAAAATCTTTTGGTCTAATTTGTACTTTGAATGAATGTTTTACCCACACATGATTTTGTAACATCATGCATTGGTCATTTGAAAATACTTGTTCAATGAATTATGCAAATATTCTAATGTTGACACATTTTATTATATAAAATCCTTTTGTTACTAAATTTTCCTCTGCAGAAAAGTCTCAAGAATTAGTATGTTGTCAAGTTTACGGTGGTAGATATGTTTTCTAAAATTCTTAATTTTTATTTGAGAGCTTTTTTTTTTTTTTTTGGAGAAAGAGAGGGAGAGAGTGTCAGGGGTGGGGAGGGAAGGGGTCAGAAGGAGAGGGAGAGGGAGAATCTTAAGCAGGCATGGAGCCTGACATGGGGCTCAATCTTATGTCCCTGAGATCATGACCTGAGCCGAAATCCACCAACTGAGCCACTCAGGCGCCCTGGAAAGCTTTAATTTTATCACTGACAACAAATATTGTCAATGGTTTTCTTTAAAAGGACAGGTTGATTTCATTTTCAAGAAAATGTCAAATACCCAAATGTGAAAGACTAGAGTTTGGCAGTCATTCTTTCAAGCAAAATGTTATTCCATGAAAAAATCTGCTAGTTAAAAAATACATGTATTCCGGGGCGCCTGGGTGGCTCAGTTGGTTAAGCGACTGCCTTCGGCTCAGGTCATGATCCTGGAGTCCCGGGATCGAGTCCCGCATCGGGCTCCCTGCTCGGCGGGGAGTCTGCTTCTCCCTCTGATCCTCCTCCCTCTCATGCTCTCTGTCTCTCAGTCTCTCTCTCTCAAATAAATAAATAAAATCTTAAAAAAAAAAAAAATACATGTATTCAATGGTTGAACTTTAATAAATCTAACATTCACAATTTCATCAAGGACATTCTTAACTGAAATAGATAATTTTATTTTTCTATTGCAAGTGCATGACAGTGAAGAATAATGACTGCTGGAGTTTGGTGTCATTGCCTTTGATTTGTGCTAAGGCCCAAGAAGTTTTTATTTACTACTGATTTTACACTATCAGGGCAAATTCCAGCAGTGAAAAAGCAAATAGCAGTATTATTATAAAGAGCTTTGACCTTGCAGATACTCTGAAAGGCTCTTGGGGATACCCAGAAGGCTATGGACCACAATTTGAGAACTGCTATGGTAGGTATGAGAATAAAGGCAGAATATAAAAACAATTAAGACGTGATCCCTTTTCTCAAGCTCATGTTCTAATAGAGGAAACCTACAGAGATGATTACAACATGCTTTAGAGATACAAGAAATGGCAACCGTGGGGAGGCCAGATTAAGGACGAGAATGGACAAGTACCAGATGTACCGTTGGAAAGGCAGACAAGCAACGATGAGATCTGACCTAAGGTAGTGGTGAATGGAGAAACGTTCAAGGTGGTGGAATTATAAGATGTGGTGACTGATTAAACATGAGGAATGAAGAAGGAGGGCAATGGGGTGGATAGTGGTGCCCTTCCTACATGGGCATTACAGGAGGGGCAGGATGGCAGCGGGGTGGGAGGAGGTAAATTCAGTTCGGGATTTACTGACAATGAGATAAATGTTAAGCGTCTAGGCAGAGGTGTTGAGCAGGCAGTTAGACACTCCTGCTCCTTCCCTGAGGGCCCTGCAGTTTTGTCACCCACTGCTGTATTCCCAGTGCCTACCTAGCACAATCCCTAGCTCTTCACAGTGACTGAATAAATACATGAATATGGTCGGGGGCTCGTGAGAGCAATATAGAAGGGGAATTTACTTCGGTGGTCATTATATATACATGCTTCTTTGAGACCGCAGGAGCGGGCGGCCAAGGGACTGTGGCTTTAGGACTGTACTTCCGCTTTAAAATCTTTCTGGACAGAGTAAGTGCCGTTCTTGGGGAATGTTGTCTCAAATAGGCCGCGACGGCCTATAATATTCAAATTTATTTCGGAAAACCTGTTTCCGTATAATCCAGACAGCAACCAAGTTTTGTTAACGTTATGCCCTATATTAACACCTGTCAGACTGCTTTTAATTGGGGTGGCAGGGGACTGACCTCATCGTCCCACCCTTCCGTGGGCAGACGGCGTCTTTCACAACCTCCCTTTCCCCAACCATGTTGGGGATCTCTCCACCGCTTCAGGACGCCGGCCCTGAGAGGCTCAGCGGCAGCGGGCCCGCATGCCCCCGCGAGAGGGCGGTGCTCGCACCACCGGGGCGGTACTCAAGCCACCCGCCCGGCTGACGCCACATAAGCTGAGATCACCTCACGCGCGAGCGGTGCAATCACAGAGCGCGCTGCTGCTGCTGCCGCTGCCGTCCCGTCGCAAACCTCGCTCTGAGATCCCTCCGCCCGCCCTTTGCCGGCGCCGCGTCGTGGTGCTCCGCACCCGGGCACGCAGGCTCAGGTGGCCCGCGATTCTCAGAGGGATGATCCCCTCTTAAGTTCTCGTTCTCCTCTGTCTCTGTACCACTGGTACCATAGGTGCAACCTGCTTTTTCAGGGCCTCTCTCCTGGCGTAAGGAGACCTCGGCCGTAAGTAGTCCCACGTAGGGCGTGGCCAGCATCTGGCCCCGCCCCGTCCTGTGACATACAGGGTGGCGCGCGTGGGAGCCGAGAGTAGGGGGTGGGACTGGATTTAGTAGGAGACCTGGAGGCCGGGGCCGCTTCCCGACGCCCATCTGCCGGCCTTACTCGCTCCATCGATTAGGAGGAGCGGCGGCGACCTCGGCCTCCAGCGTCTCCGGCGAACTGTAGTGGCTGCTGCGGCGGTCAGGATGATGTTGCTGGGTTTACTGCAGGCGGGCGGGTCGGTGCTGGGGCAGGCGATGGAGCGGGTGACCGGCGGCAACCTCCTATCCATGCTGCTAATCGCCTGCGCCTTCACGCTTGGCCTGGTCTACCTGTTCCGCCTCGCAGTCGGCCACCTGGCCCCCCTGCCCGCCGGGGCGGTACGTGCACCCTGGGGGATCCGGGGGGGGACGCAGGGACTACTGTGGTCTAACGGCTAGCGGGGCGACGACAAAGGCGGCCAAAGGGCTAGCGGGAGTGGCTGCCGAAGCCGTGGTCAGCTGGGCGGCGGCGACGGGCGCACTGGGGACGGGGAGGTGGCCGCAGCTCTGCAGCTTGTGGTCGCGACTTCCTTGGCCTTTCTGGCCTTGGTGTTGGGGGCTCTCAAGTCTGTAGCGATTCTGGCGGTGGCCGCGTGTCTGGTCTTGGTGGGGGTCGTGCTTGTAGCGGTCACGGCTGTGCTGGCCGAAGTGCTGGTGCTCCTAATGGCCGTGGCCAGACTGATGGATGTGGCATTGAGCGCCCTGGTGGCCGTCATCTTGGGGACTGCCCTGGTGGGGCATCCTGTGGGCTGTCGTATCGCCCCTAATGGCGATTTATATCTGTATGAAGCGGGGAGTGTTTGGCAGGGTGGGAGTAACTGGATTGTCCCTTCTTATGATGCTAAGAAGTATCAGTTTCTTTAATTTAGTGTCTTTATCGACCACTAGCTTCATACACCAGGTAGCGTTTAAAACTGCTCTTTTACTGACAATGGAATGTATGAACTATTGACCCAAGTCGTTTTTAAAACCTGGGGCATCTAAAGTACCTTTTACAAGGAGTGTGGAGGAGTTCCTGCTAGTGCTGATCTACTCTCTCTAAAATCAGTGGATGAGGAGCGCTGGGTGGTTCAGTTGATTAAGCATCTGATCCTTGATCTCAGCTCAGGTCTTGATCTCAGGGTGGTGAATTTAAGCCTCACGCTGGGTGTGGAGCCTACTTTAAAAAATAAAATCAGTGGATGAGATGTGTTCTCTTTCCTGATAAATGTAGCTTCTTAAACATTTCACATCTTTCTATACCTCAAGTTACTGTTCGTCTTTTTCTATACCTTCTTTAGGCAAGATTCCGGAACTAAAATTGTGAGTGGTAGTGGTAAAGACAATATAGTTTGATTTTCCTGTGTGGTTTTTTTTTTTTTTTTGCTAATGTTTAAGTTGCCTAGAGCCCACCAATAAATAATATTGGACATATTCTGGATAGTGTTCAGCATGTGTAATTACAACACCTTTGTGTTTGTCTAGTCACTTATACCATGTTTTGAGTTTCTGTTCTTTTGACTATGGCCACTCTCCTAAGATACTTGCAGTTTGGCTGTTTTTAAGTTACTGCTGATGCTTTATTTTTTGGTAACTTTTTAGTATTAGTGGTAAATTTCATTTGTTTGGTCAGGAAACTAAACTGGGTATCTCAAAATGAAATGTGAACCCCCAATTTTTTGTTTTCTCTTGCAGAAAAGTCCACCATACATTTTCTCTCCAGTTCCATTCCTTGGACATGCCATAGCATTTGGGAAAAGTCCAATTGAATTCCTAGAAAATGCATATGAGAAGGTAAGTGTTCCAAATAATTATAGGAAAAAAAAATTAGTGCTTTTCAAACTTTTCTTTAAATGGCAGAACATTAAAAATAGTGTAATCTTAGGCTTATCCCGAGTATAGGAAACCAATTAAATTGGAGCTACTCCTATTTAAGAGCTGGAGGGGTCTTGGAGACTCTCGTAACTTCTCCTGTGTCCTGGGTGATCTCTGAGACATCACTAGCCTAAATTTTGTTCTTACTGATCATAGTTAAGATTGATACTGATTGACCCTTATTTTTCTTAACCAGTCACCTGTGGAATTTTCTAACCTGCTCTACACATCTGTGACTTCAGTTTCACTTGGATGACCCACAAGATACCATGGCCAAGTCAGATCTTTGCCCCTCTTCTCTCTCATGAGCTTTCTGATACCAATTCAGCCATTTATTCCACAGTCCCACTATGAATTGTTGTCACTCTTAACTCTTTCAGCTCCACAATATAAATTTAGACGCTTTAGTCTTAGACCCCTTCTTTTCTTGGCTTGCCTCTTGCCTCCGCAGCAACTTCCATTAGAACCATTCTTTGACCTCATTAGATCTTCCAGTCCATTGTCCCATTTACTTTCTCCTGATCTATTAGCCTCCTTTCTTTGCTTCGTTTTCCAGTTTGGGACAGTGGTCCATCATTTCAGTTCCACTGTGGCCAGTACCATACATTTCTTCAGTCTACCCTAGTCTGCCTGTCAGCCCCTTCACTAATGAGCTCCGTGTCCTAGTTCAATGAACTTGATCCCTCAGCTGTATTTGTCACTGGTAACTCCTCCCTCCTTAAATGTGGCTTCTTTCATCCCCCCCTGACCCCTATTTCTCTGACTGCTTTTTCTCTAACTCAGTAGTGGGCTTATGCCTGGGCATTTACTGTTGGGGTTCATGGAGGTTTGGTCCTTGGCCTTTAGTCTTTCTTAGGTGATCTCATCTCTAACCTGCAGCTTCAGTTATCAGCCATAGGTAGATGACACCCAAATTAATGTCTCTGGCTCAGGTCTCTTCTCCAGCTCCTGACCTGGATGTCCCAACTCCCACATGATTTTTCCTGCGTTGTCTCAAAGGCACCTGAAGTCCAACATTTCTGGAGGCTAACCCTTGGTTTTTCTCTCTTCAATCCTGGTTGTCCTGTTTTCTCTTCTCATCATTTTTCTGTTTTCCAGAGGCCTGGAAAACAGTATCCATCTGCTTCTCTCTGCACTGCCCCATCATTACCATGTAGCAAGTTTTCATCATCAGGTTCCTGCATAGGCTCTAACTGGTCCTCTGACATTCCTTCTGCTCCTGTTCCTCCCCCCTCCATATAGCAGCCAGAGGGATCTTTCTTTTAAAATATGCATATAGCAGTGTGTCCCTCCCATGCAGTTGAAAATCTTCTATGGCTTTCTATTGCTTGTAAGGAAAACACTTCCTGAATATGGCTTATGAGACTATGTATGGTCTAGGCCCTGCAGACTCAGCTCTCATCTTGTCCTCCCCCCCATTAGGATCTTTGTGCATGCCTGGCTGCCATGCTGACTCCTCCTCATCCTTCAAGCCTCAGCTTAGGTGGCCTTTCCTCTCTTTGGTCTCTCTTTTATCAGTTCTCTTCTCCCAGAATTGCTTTCCTTCCTGTAGTACTTGTCACATTTGCAATTTTACATTTGTTAATGTGATTATTTGATTAAGTTGTATCTTTTTCAATAGACTAAGCTACATGAGTCAGAGACAGTATTTTTGTTCACAGTTGTATCCCCAGAGCCTGGTCTTTAATAATAATCAGATAACTGCAAGGTAAAGCATTTAACACTCAGCCAGATTAACGGAAAATTAAAAATAAAATCATTTAGGGGCGCCTGGGTGGCTCAGTCGTTGAGCGTCTGCCTTCGGCTCAGGTCATGATCCCAGGGTCCTGGGATCGAGCCCTGCATCGGGCTCCCGGCTCAGCGGGAGGCCTGCTTCTCCCTCTCCCCTCCCCCTGCTTGTGTTCCCTCTCTTGTTCTGTCTCTCTCTGTCAAATAAATAAATAAAATCTTTAAAAAAAAAAAAAAAAGAAATCATTTGGTGTTGGTGAGATAGTAGTAAACTGGATAACTAAATAAACTTCTGATGTCTTCACATAGCAAATACAATAGGACAGGTCATAACCTTTGGTGACTCCTATAAGTTTATCCTTAACCAAGGGGGTAAAAAATCTGTATTCTCAGAGAAACTCATTGCAAAATTATCCATAATAAGTAAAGAACTGACATATCACCCATATGTCCAATAATGAAAGAATAATTATTAAAATTATAATGTCTGTGTAAAGGATAGAAAATATTTTCAGTATAAATTGAAAACAGAATAAAAAGTTTATATTTCACTTGCAACTGGATGAAAATAATTAAAAATTTGGACAAAGACTGGGTGAATAATTGCATTAAGGTTTATGCATGTTTTAATTTTCAAAAATGTTTTGTGAATTAATAAATTAGTGTTTCTTTTAGTGATACATATTTTTCAGTACCATCACTGTGGCTACTTTTCTTTCTTTAGTATGGACCTGTATTTAGTTTTACCATGGTGGGCAAGACATTTACTTACCTTCTGGGGAGTGATGCTGCTGCACTGCTTTTTAATAGTAAAAATGAGGACCTGAATGCAGAAGATGTCTACAGTCGTCTGACAACACCTGTGTTTGGGAAGGGAGTTGCATATGATGTGCCAAATCCAGTAGGTGACCCTGTTACCTTCAAGAAAAATCTATGATATAATAGTTACAGCTAGTAGTGTAATATTGTACATTTAGAATGTAGAAACAATTTATTCTTTGGTTCAGAAA